GTCAATGGAGATGGGTCCTGGTTGGAGCGGTGTCAATGGAGATGGGTCCTAGTTGGGGGAGTGTCAATGGAGATGGGTCCTGGTTGAGGTGGTGTCAATGGAGATGAGTCCTGGTTGAGGTGGTGTCAATGGAGATGGGTCCTGGTTGGAGCGGTATCAAGGGAGATGGGTCCTGGTGGGATTGTGTCAATGGAGATAGGTCCTGGTTGGGGCAGTGCCAAAGGAGATGGGTCCTGGTTGGGGTGGTATAAATGGAGATGGGTCCTGGTGGGGCCACGTCTGGAGAAGAGTCAATGGAGATGGGTCCTGCAGTGCAACCACTTCTGGAGCGAGTCAGTGGAGGTGGTCCTGATGGTTTCTGGTGGTGCCAATGGGGATGGGTCCTGGTGGGACCACTTCAAGGAGGAGCAGCAGCAGATGAGGTCCTGCAGAGCAATCAGCTGGTGGGACTGTTCCTAGGGAGGAGCTGATGGAGATGGGATCCTGGTGGACCACGTCTGTGGAGGAGCTGATGGAGATGAGATCCTGGTTCTGACAGAGGTGAGGCCTTGGTGGGAACACGTCCAGCCAGGACCCAGCGCAGATGAGCCTCTAAGTGGGATGACTTCTAGTGATGGAGATGAGTCTTCAGGAGGCTTCTACAGCAAAGGGGGTCCTTCCCCTCCAAGAACCACCAAGAACTGGTGGTGATGGGACTCCTCAGCACGGCCAAGACCGTTGGGCTCCTTCCCACTGCCTGGAGAAGACCTTGTGCTGATGGGTATCCGGGAGGGTCCGTTGGTGCCTGGACCCCCCCAGTGCAGGCAGCAGCGATGGTGGGGCCTGTGTGGGACCTGCGGAAGCTGCTGGTGCTGCGCCTGCGCCCCAGGGTGCCGCGGGGGCCAGTGGGAACCCGGATGCTGGGTTCTTCCTGCTCCTGCCGCCGGGGAGGAGCTGGAGACCACAGAGGGGCCCCTGTGGTCATGGGTTCTGGTGGTGGGAATGGGGCGCCCATGCAGGGTACCTGGTGGCTGGGACCCATGGGGGGACCCAGGGGTCTGAGCATGGTGACCCAATGGGTCCCGTGAGGGACCAGCATCTGGGCATGGTGACCCAATGAGTCCCGTGAGGGACCAGCCTGTGGGCTTGGTGACCCAATGGGCCCCACGG